TGAAGTGTTTGATTCACGCTGAAATTTTAATAGAGTCTTAATTAAATATAAAAAAAATTAATTCCAAAAAGGCAGACACTTTTTCCGGGGTTTAATTGCCGACCAACATAAAAATAAGTCCTATTTACTATAGTAATAAATTGTTATATATTATTATAAGGTATTCCAAACTTCTATCAATATGTGCTCGGTGGCGCAGAGCGTACAGTGGTCAAAATTTGGATAGAGTGGATAGCAAGTTGGTGGTTCGAGCCCCCGAAACTTTTAGTTTTTTTTTTGTTTTTTTTTGTTTTTTTTTGTTTTTTTTTGTTTTTTTTTGTTTTTTTTTTGTTTTTTTTTTGTTTTTTTTTTGTTTTTTTTTGTTTTTTTTTTGTTTTTTTTTGTTTTTTTTGTTTTTTTTTCTTAAAAAAAAGGAAAAACTAAACATTTTAAATTACCAAGACTGTGTTTTATTATTTAAACAATAATATTTGTACAAATAATAATATAATTTATTTGGCCAAAATTTTAACTTTTTGAGATATGCTTGTCCGAAAATTATAAGGGGGTGCTGTACTCACCTTAATGAAATTTGTTTACTGAAGTTTACATTTTAATTCTTCCACTAGCTCTCCGACTATAAAAAAACAAATTTCCCCTCCAAACTAAAATCGACCTGCCCGAACGTTTTTTACCGTCCACGTCAAGTTATCATTGGGCCACCTTGTATATCGAACCTTGCTCTATCGATTTAGGTTTCAAATAAAACCAGATATTAATTCCTACCTGATTATACTGGATATCATTACATGTCAGTAAGTTAGAAAATGAGTCAGTAAATTTTATTGTAAACAAAATATTGAACTGAAATAATTTAAACCTGTGCTCATTCAAACTAGGTAGAATAGAAACTGAAATGTTATTGATATTATTATAAGATTATTTATCAAAAAATTAGGGAAGTCCAAAATTCTTGTGTTAATGAATTGACACCCTTTCAAGGATGTATCACATACCCCCTAATTTAATTTTAAAATGTGTAAATGGTAGTTGTCACTCTAGGGTAGATGAAGAAAAAAAAATTTAATTCTGTTCAAATAGTGTCATTTTAGAACTAAAAATAAAAATAATAATCTCCCTATACTTGTTTGAGTGCCGCTTTGTGGAGACTTATAATGATCGATAAAGTGCCCCTAAAAGTCTGTCATAATCACTTTTCGATCGAATATCTCTATGAATTAGACTGGAACACCCCGTTTATATACTATACTACTTGTCTGATAAAATAGTTAAGTAATTTTCTTAAATTTGTTTATTTAGTATTTTAGTATATTAATTTGTTTAATAAACTAGAATGACGACATATAATGCTTTGTATTCTATATTATACTCTTCACAGTTTAACAGACCCCCTTAACGCCCATTTTCAATCAGATTGTTTTCAGAATAAATAGGCTTCATCCCCTTATAAAGCTTGATTTGTCCTGAAGATCTCATTTTGATATCGCTTCTCGTTTTTGAATTACGATTTTTTTTTAATTTCAACCTTCCTCAACCCCCTATTTTTTTCAGATTTTTTCAAAATCAATCAGCTTTGTCCTTTTATAGAGCTTGATTTTTAATAAAAATGTCATGTTGATATCGCTTTTCGTTGTTGATTTTGAGAGAGAATATATGTTTATTGTCCAAGTTAAAATACTTATTGACAAACACAATATTGTACAAATTACAAATAAATAAATAAATAGTCATACAAACACAATATTGTATAAATAGTATACAAATTACAAATACATAAATAGTCATTAAAATATAAACAAACATTATTATAAATTAACATTAATACATACATCTAAAATAGTTTTGGGAATAGGCAACTTCAAGTTACCCGTTTGGCGAGTTACACGGGATGTATTCGATTTATATTTCGACTTGTTCTTATGGATCATGCAACAAGTTTCTAAGATAAATAAAGATGTTAATGTTAATATTTCTTGTTTTAAGAACAGAGGTCTGCATGAAACTAATCTGTGTGCTCCACATAAGAACCTTATTGCCCGTTTCTGCATTAAAAAGACTCTGTCAAATAACTGAACAGCATAACGTAGATGGGAGTCAACTAACGCATAATATGCAGTTTTTGCTGCACAAACTCCCAATTCATGAGAGGTGGTTCTAATGGCATAACAACCCGATGCGAGTTTTTTTAAAAGTGAATCCACATGAGATTTGAATTTCAAATCCATGTCGATATTTAAACCCAAAAATTTTGTACAGTTTGTGGCTTCTACAGTATCCATATCTATTAAAATATCAGGAACATTACATTTAAAGCTTAGTATTTTTGTTTTTTTAAAATTTAATGACAGAAAATTTGCAGTGCACCATGTTTTAAAGGATTTTAGGTCATTACTAATATTTGAATAAAGAATATTGACGTCTTTATTGTGCCACAAGATAGTAGTATCGTCAGCAAATAGAGTAAAGCTTCCTGAGATATTTAACTTACCTAAATCATTGATATAAATTAAAAACAGGGTGGGCCCAAGAACAGAACCTTGAGGGACACCCCATTTTATGTCACTTGTATTCGAGTCTGAAACAGTTCGGACTAACTGTTTGCGACCTAAAAGGTAGGATTTCATCCAACTCAAGGCCACATCTCTTATGCCATAAATTTCAAGCTTTTGCAGCAGTACTCCATGGTTGACACAGTCAAAAGCTTTAGTCAGATCACAAAATACTGCAGCTACGGCCTCGTTGAAATTTAAACTTGTATAAGCTAATTGCAAACAAGAAGAAACAGCGTCCGATACGTTTTTGTTGTGTTGAAAACCGAATTGATTTATGTCCAAAATATTATTTTGGTCTAGATATCTAACTAGTCGAGTTTTTACAAGTTTCTCAATAATTTTTCCGAGTGTCGGAATTAGAGATATGGGCCTAAAATTAGATGGCTCAGTCAAGTCTCCTCCCTTATATAATGGAACCACAACACTTGTTTTAAGAAAAGGAGGAAAAGTACCTTCAATAAAACTTTTATTTATTAAAATGGATAAAACGTCTAATGCAGAGGTAGGTAAGTTTTGAAATATTTTTACTGACATTCCATCATGTCCTGATGCAGTTTTGTTGTGTATGTCATTACAAACTTTTAATATTTCTAAGGAATTTGTTTCTCTTAAGAAAAATGAATATTTAATTGGCGACGATTTTACAAATTCTAATGGGTCAGTTGTTCTATTTAGATTTTTTGTTAGATGTTCAGCGATATTGCAATAAAATGTATTGAAATCGTTAGGATTTATATTTGCATTGCATGATTTATGGTTACTTTTGCCTCTCAATTCATTAATAATAGACCAAGTTTCCCTTGCCTTATTTTTTGAGCCCTCGATTCTTGTATGATAGTATATATCTTTAGCTTTTCTAATAAGTGTTCGATATAAAGATCTGTAGCGATAATAATAGTTTAAAAATAAATTATTTTGCGTAAATTTTTTTATATAGTTGAGAGATCTCATATTTTTTTATGAACATCTTAAACCAGCTGTAATCCACGGCTTCTTTGGCTTAATTTTTATTTTTTGAATAGGGAAAGACGCATTAAAAAATTTGCTTAAATTTAAATAAAAATCGTTAAAAGGAGATATACCAGTAAAGCAACTGTACCAATTAAAATTTTTACATACTAAATGAAATTTTCCACAATTAGATTTACTAAACAATCGACCATGACGAGAATTAGTCTTAGGAAGCTTATGCTCAAGAGATATCGAAGCTAAAACGGCTTCATGATCAGACAGACCGCTGGGATTCACTGTACACGATATATTAGCAGGTTCGTAAGACGTACAGAAATAGTCAAGTAACGTTTCGGTACATTCCGTTATCCTTGTTGCTTCCTTAACATGCATACTTAAGTTAAAGGAAATTAACAAATTTTTTAATCTAATAGTAATATTATCATCATCCTTGAGATAATCTATATTTAAGTCACCTGTTGAATAAAAATGGGGAATTAGAGAGGGTTGAAATTAAAAAAAAATCATAAATAAAAAACGAAAAGGATATCAACATGAAATTTTTTATATAGAATGCCAAGCATTTATATATCTTCATTCTAGTTTTAATTTTATCTTCAGAATAAAACATTCAGTCGATTTAGATACTTGTATATTACTTAAAACTTCTAAAAGAAGTATTAAGACGATGATAATCTCAGCGTACATTGTATATTATTACATACAGGGTGTTTCTAAATTCATGCGACAAAATTCAGGAGGTGATTACTCGTATGAAATTAAAATGGGTCTTTCCTATAATAAAATTTCCTCAGCCCACCCCGTTCCGAGATATCACCCTTAAAAAGTGGTGACTAAAATTGAGTTTTTATTTGTTTCTTCTAAAATTTCAGTACAGCTAGAAGCTTGAAATTCTGTAATTTTCGTGCACTCGCAAAGGACTAACCACGGGCATTTTTTCAATATTTTCAAATAAAGTAAGGGTTGCTAATTTCACCCCCCTATAATGTAACAGGAATATTGAAAAAATACCCGTGGTTAGTCCTTTGCGAGTGCACGAAAAATACAGAATTTCAAGTTTCTAGCTTTACTGAAATTTTAGAAAAAAAAAATAAAAACTTAATTTTAGTCACCACCTTTTAAGGGTGATATCTCGGAAAGGAGTGGGCTGAGGCAATTTTGTTATAGGAAAGACCTATCTTAATTTTATACGAGCAATCACCTCCTGAATTTTGTCGCATGAATTTAGAAACACCCTGTATACCGTAAAAACTTCAGTATTAAAAAATAATAGATTTTACCAGTTACCCTGGCTTTAAAAAGGTAAAAGAATTAACAAATGACCACTTTATTGGTCAAACATTTAAAAAAAAATCAATTACCGTAACCAAAAGGCAAAATACGATAAAATATAGCATTTAAAAATGTAAAAGATGAAATAAAAATGATACAAAACAGAAATTATTAAAAAATTAAATACCTATTCGAAGTTAAATTCTAATTTCTAAATACATAAAAGTAATTTACCGTGGTAGGTAACGGATTTTGCTCCACTATTAATTCCCCGTAAGCAGGCATACTTTGAAAATCTTCCAAAGATTTTGTGCGTTCTGGCAGCAACACTGTCCTGATAACGTTACAGGTAATAGAATTCCTTTTCGAAGGTGTTTCCAAATTTTCCGCACTTTTCCAAGATTCCTGAAGATTCGTATCAGACGCAGACTTGGTCAATATAAGGTTATCATCCCCTTCTGGGGTTTGTCTTTCGTCTGACGAGGTACTGGGAAGGGGTATACTTGCGATTTCTTTAATTTCTCGCTTATGCGAAGTTAACTTGTTTTTTAATTTGAATTTTTTCACTAGGAATGATTTTCTTTGTTTCGGTTTAGGAGATTTTGGAGGAACCACTAGTTTCTTACCGCGTTTAACTTTATCGTCTTTAGTTTTATCTTTTTCGTCGTTCTGTTCGTTATCGGTTTCACTTTTCATTTTAAATTGATCGGTTTATTAGCTTGAGACATACCTAGCAATAAGAAATGTCGGACGACGACTGAAAATGTAGGGTTTCATGGCATTAATTACTTGCTAATATGGGAGGGGAAGGCAACAATTCCGTAGGTTAGGTGGGATATTTTACTACTAATCATATATACTATTACACATAGAAAGCTTCAATATCAATTTACTGGTGGTTAATTAGACACAAGTAATATATACAGGATAATACATTTCTACGATTTAGTCAGTTATATTCAACTTTAAAATCCCGTTAATTTATATTTTATGACAATCAATGCTGTTATAGTCATCAACGTGCAGCTAGTGATCTATCTCTGTTCTATAAATATATCGTCTAACATTAGATATCCATCCAATTAGCTATATCAGCTGTGTGACTAGTCGATCTTATCCCAGTATATGTATCAATCAGTACTGGCGCTCTGAGGCGGCACGTTTGATTTTTAAAAGTCGAGATTTTATTTGACACTTGACGTCTTCAGGATATGAAAAGTTTTCTTTACACGGACTTGGTTATACCTGGTTAGTTGAATTTTTGTTCTGCTGCTTTTCAAATTCGTGTGTATAAGCGAGATGCGAGATACCTTTATAGAGACAACGAATGAAATACTTAACTACTTTGAAGAAGAAAATCGATTAGATCAGGGCAGTCTTCGCAAATGTAAAGAGGACAGAACTGTTTTAAATTTTTTTTTTATGTATGTGATTGAGGGTCAAAAATGTTTGAATTTCGAAACTGAAATAGTTTAGTGAAAAGTTTAATTACTTTTAGTTTAAAATATAACGTTAGTTTGTCAAGGGAAATATATATAACACGCAAGGTTAGAGTAACAAAGTAGAGGTTTTAATTAATTACTCTAATCTAAAACTTTTCTAGTATATTGTAGAAATTTATTCTATACGTTATTTAGGTACTGCAAAATCTATAGGAAAGTATGTAGTTTTAAATATAAAAATTTATAACGGAGACATATTTAGTGTAGTTTTTTTTTACAAATATATGACAGACGAAAATCGTTACTTTTTATTATGAATTAATTTGAATTTTTTAAATAATGGGAACTATATTGTGACGATAGTCTAATTTATTTATAGTTTATTTATTTAAAACACACTGCGGCCTCTTGATTTGGAATAGCGTAGACTTCCACTCACTTCGTGAAATAATCCATAACCACCATTATGAATTTATTACCATTCTCGGTCGTGGGAATGATCCAGCAATATCTAAGGCAATCCTCTCAAATGGGCTACCAACGTTGTATTGCTTCATGGGAGCCTTCCTTTTTCGCTGAGGTCCACTACTCATAACACAGCTGGTACATTTCTTACACCAGTCCATTACATCATCGGAACTATTCTCTAATAAAACCTTTCACGAACTCTCTGAAGGGTTTTCCTAACACCGAGATATCCCTCTGATGGACTATCGTGTAACTGACGAAGTACTTCGGATACTCTACTCCTTGGAATGACCAACTGTCTTCTGTTCTCGAAACCATCATCATTTTCAAATACTCGCTTTAATAAGCCATCTTCCAGGATAAAGGAGTCCCACTGAGCCAAATACGACTTAAGTACTAGAGAGAGATTAGATACTTCTTGCCAAGTAGGTCGACGATTTTCCACTTTTCTATTGTCGCATCTTCTTTAAAACGGTATCGTTTTCTTGTTCTTCCCTAAGTTTGACAGGGGCCCACTCATCGCTGACAACCGACGTTCTTCGTACTGTAACTTCTGTTGCAGATGTGTTGATAAAAGAGTTTATCTGTCGATTTCGAGTGCCCTTTGAGATCCACAGTAACCGAGGCAAAAATTATAAAAAAACTATAAATAAATTAAGCTATCGTTACAATATGTATATGGTTTTCGTAGTTTTTACACTTGTAATAAAAATATCAAAGTTTTGTATATTGTCTATTTACTACACATAGCAAATTCATAGACACAATACATATCACTATTTGACATTCTTATTAAACTCACTAATATAAAATTGACTTTAAACTAAGTGACTACACACAGAATAATTGTTTGGAAGCAGCCATAAGGTATAATTTATTTATTGGTTACTATAAAAAATTAATATTAGATACATGTAGAGTTAAGTAACAAGACATTTAAAAACAAAAACAAAACTTTATATCCAGTGAACTTAATTTAGTACAGTCCTCAACTTTCTTAGGTTAAAATTAAAGATATCTATTTGGATCTAGCTAAGAAACTTATTGATAACAGCCATCATCTTGTTAAAAGGAGAATATACTGCTTGGATCTAAACTAAATAATTTTTTGTTACTTGGGATTCTTAGATTAATCTTTGCCACATTAAAATTTATATAATCAATCAAATCACAATCTTTGTACTTAAGATTATTTAAAATAGAGTACAAAATATATCACATCCTATTGCTTTCTTCTTTGTAAAAGAGATTTAATTTTAAAGCTAGCGAGCATAGTTTTATATAAGGGTACGAGTATTTTTTATGACATAAAGGTAAAACTATTTTTTGTACTTTTTCAATATGATCAATATGTGTGGCTTTCAAGGGCATCCATATTTGTGAAACATACTCAAGATGGGGTCTTACTAAGGCATTATATAATCTGATTTTGGTGGTATTCCTAAATTTTTTTTTGTATTTCTGATTTAAAAACCCAAAGCTTTTATTACTTTTTTAGTATTGTGTAAGAAATGGTTATTGAAATTCAAATTAGACTAAAAGACAACTCCCAAATGCATTACTTCATATTCAAGATTTAATGTGACATCACAGGTCTTGTGTTTAATGTAAAAATTAACAGGCTACGGATCTTACAACTTAAAATATGCATATGTTTGCAAGTGTTAAAGAGACGGTTAAAAAATGTTCATTTTTATTTACAACTATAATAAGAACCTATTAAAAAGATTAAGAGCAAAAGAACATATTTCAACAAATTTCTATAGGTAAACAATATATTTTTTGTCAGTATCGCTAGAATACTTGTACTGGGGCAGTACTAGCAGACCATAGCGAATCGCTGGACGGTTGCAATGGGTAGTGGAAACTGTGGAGAGAAATTATGCATTTTGGATACGTGCGTTGGCGACTTGGCGGGCACAGCTCGGTCAGCCCTCGGACAATCTGGCGATCACTTTGTAGTTTGTTTCGCTATGTTGATCTAGTGTAGGGTTGCCATTCGTCCCGGTACACCGGGACATGTCACCGGTTTGGACCTTCTGTCTCGGTTGTCCCTGTTGGTCTTCTAAATGAAAATGAAAATATTGGGAACATTGGGGTTTTATTAGGTTTGATTTAACACGCGGTAAAACCATCCTGGTGCTGTCCAGTCAAGCTGGACCCATGATTGCATTGCATGTAGCATGTAGCATATGGCCGGATAGTCACAAGCTTGTTTTCGTTGCACAGTGGACTAAAGAATGCAATCGCCTTCAAGTAGAAACGGTCGAAAGCATGATTTTATCTTAGAATATAAAGCAGTGTGGACAGTTAATCGGAATGGTTATCCAAGATGGCTACTTGACATTAGTATTTACCAGTGGTGTATCATATTTATATTGTTTGAAAGTGTAATATTTTTATTAGATTAAAAATTCAGTAAAACAAAGTCTTTTTAAAAGTGGATGATTATATTTCAGTATTTTTACAATTTAACAACATTATTTTTATTGATTTATTCAATTTTTTACCTGGTCAATTAATTTGTTTAATGATATTGGATTAATAGAAATAAAATGTAGTGTAATTGCAAAAGATTTTGATAAATATCTTAGATACAGTCTTGCCCAAGGTTTTCCTAAATAGTCGTTCAACAATTTCTTTATTATTTCCAAAATTTTCCGAAACGACATTTATTTTTCTTCTGCCTCCATAACCAATTTTTTTTCTTGAGTTCCAGCATTATTCTCTTTAAAGATTTGATGACTTTTAGTTGTCTCCATATGGTTTATTGTTATTTCCTTAATTTAATATTTTCGACTTCATTCTGTGCCACCAAGTTTTGAATTCGTCTTTTGAGCTTCTTTTTACGATGGCAATTACGAAGATTCTCTTCTGACTCTATGTGTATGTACAACTTTCTTGACAAACAGAAGGTCCAGGAAGAGCTAAAGAAGCTTTATCAACTTTAAAATGACTTATAAACAATCAATGAGTCATAAATCGTTAACCAAAATGGCCGACTTTGTAACGTACGTTTCCTCTTTGAAATATGGCACACACTCTTTCCTTACTACTTTATATTCTCAGGATTTAATGCAAATTCAATTTCAAAATAGTTTCATAAGTACGTTATAGATAAACCGGACCTGCTAAAGCAGATGAAGAAATCCGAAATATATAAAAACAATTAATTAGGACAGAGACACATTTCTCTAACACTTCGCTACGCCACGCTGTCTGACGAAACGGCAGGAAGATCTGGCACTATGTCTTATGTTTTTGTGTATATTTACATACTGTGTGCGTACTCTACTCATGCTATCCCCATGCCACCCTACGCGAGGCAATCCGACGTGTTGTGAATCTCGACTTGTTTGAATTTCTTCTAAAACTAATAAAATTGCTGCACATTCTATTTTTTCGTCCCACTCATCGGAAGAACTACTACTCTCCATGATTTCTGATTCATTATCGAAATAATGGACAGTAATTTAATGCCAAGAATGTGTGAAGATGTTGACAGAGGTGCCATATGTCCAACACTAAAACAAATCCCTTGTCCCCCAAAGATTTCTCCAAACTTTGGCGCCCCGGAACGCCACGGCAATTAATAATTAACTATATTATACTTATTACAGTTTAACAGATCCCCTTGACCCCCATTTTTAATCATATTTTTTCAGAATCAATAGGCTTAATCCCCTTAAAGAGTTTGATTTTTACTAAAAATTTCAAGTTGATATCGTTTTTTGTTTCTAAGTTGGGATTTTTTTAAATAGTTCAACCCCCCCCCCCCCCTTGGCCCCCACTTTTATTAAATTTTTTTTTTCATAATCAATAGTCTTCATTCCCTTATAGA